TGCTACACCAAGCAGGATGGCCCTCTCCAGCGACTGGTCCCTCCCTAACAACACGGAGTCTGCTGCCCATCCTTGCTTCTCAGGAGCGTGCCGGTCTGTTCTTCCACCAGTCCGTGGGGCTTTCTATCCTCCACCGGCTGCCGTGATTCAAATGCATCGACCCTTCGTCGCCCTTCCTGATCCCATGTCCCTCGCTCACATGCACATAAAGCGGTGGAAGTTGCCATGGCTTGGGTCAGGTACACCTTCGTCCTCAGAGGAACAGCGGGAGATTTGCCCGAGGCAATGCGTCCCTCCATCTCTTGACTGATGCTTCTGTGAGCTTGATGAGCAACAGGGTAGCCCGCGTGGGTCCCTGGGAAACCCTTGAAGTCCCAGCTCCCCAGGTGCCACCCCGTGGGTTCTGGCCCATGGTGCCCGGCGTGTGTCTGGGCAGACCTGTGCCCCACGCAGTTGTCCAGGGCGGGTTTGGGGGAAGTACATCAGCAGGGCTTTCTTCTGAAGTGCCTCTGAGCGGCCTCAGACGCCGACCTTTCAGCGACCAGCCGAGAACGGTCACCCATCGGCACCCCTGGTGTCCCAGTCAGAGTGGGCTCCCCCGGGGCTTCCAGGGACTGTTGGTTCAGAGGCAGGTTGCCAGCCCTTCCCCACCCACCCCCTACCCCCGGGGTGCTCATGGTGGACATGACCCCCTCCCCCTCTGGCTTGCAGCTGAGCCCACTCACCATTTACTACGGACATGCGCTAGAGGTTGTCTTGCCAGTAAGTGGTTTGGGGGTGAGACCCAAATGAAGCGCGCACAGTGGGACCTGACTCCTGCAACCCCGTCAGGTCCGGCTAGCTCTGAGTTGGCCCCTCGCCAGCCTGGGCTTGGCTTTGGGGCTTTCCTTGTCCTCGGCATCCATGGGGTCTGAGTGCCGGGTACCTGGTACTTCTACCATGACCGTGCGGATGGTCATTTAACGGATGGGCTGAAGGGTCGCCGCGTTCCTGGGACGCTCCAGGTGACCGTGATGTGCAGTAAGTACTGCTTACTGACTGATCACCTATCTCCTTAGCTGCCAACGTTCCTCGACTCCCCTTTCTACCTCTCTCGCACATTAAACCAGCTATGTCTGCCAGTACCTAGTGGCCCAGGTGCCAGGCGAGTGTCCACACTGGCTGTGTGGCTAGGGTCACGCGTCAGCTGGGCTGGACCCTGGTTCTCAGTGGTCTGGCACCCAGGTCATGATGGAGCCTGATGTTTATATAACGATGCCGCTTGGCGGCGGCATGAGGATGTCGTGCGGAGGCTGTGTGATGGTGTAAGGTGGAGGTGATGGAATGATGTACTTGGTGGTCATGTGGTGCCCTCACCTGGGTTCTCTAGAGAAATGAAACTAGTGAGGCGCGTGCGTGTGTGGACACATACCCCCTAAAACCCCAAGCAAATACTGCCCCCTTCCTCAAATAATTGGGAGTAGAAATACCATATGGCCCAGCGGTGACAGCCCTTTGCATCCACCCCAAAGAAAGCAAGAGCACCCATAGATCGATGCACACCCATGTTC